AGATTTGCAGAAATTAGGATGGCAACTAGCTTAAAAGTCCTTACATGGTTGCAGTGGAATGACTTCTTTGTTAGCGCGCACCTCCAAAAGCTTACTTTATGAAGGTATTTTTGAAGAAAGGGTTTGAGAGTATGAAATACATCATAGAAACAGAAGTAGGAGTTTTGGTATTAAGTAAATGACTGCAGAAGCACATTTCTGCTATTCCGGTAGGATTTCAAGCTTATTATTAATACTGAGCGTGATCCCTCCTATCTTTGAGTGGGATTCATCTCACACAACTGCTGACATCCAGAATGAAGATGTCCTGTGCATGCAAATAACTGTAGATCCCTTTATAATCATCAAAGAGGGACCTCTCAGCATATTCCATCTAACCTGCATTATGCTTTCTTACTTCCCCTTACAGTACTGACTTTCTGTTTAGTGAGTTCAGACACAGGTTCATATGTGCACAGCTACGATCACTCTGCTCTGACCTTGGACTTACTGCAGAATTTTTCACTTGAGAAAGTGAAAATTGACTATTTTCACTTTCCAAGAAATAGAAAAGGTAATTGTGTCAGTAGCCAGAGACACACTTATCGTGTGTCTAAGGTGCTGGGGTCAGCATGAGAAAAGCACAGATAATTATTTTCTTTGATAGAGGACATCCTAAAAGACAAATGGTCATGGGGGTGCTTCCCAGTCAGTCTGTGCAGGCCAGTTCACAGAGGGTTAATGCTCTGTGTGCACAAAGACTGCTGGTAAAGCAAAGCCTCAGGGCCAGGAGGGCTGGATAGAGACAACAGGATGCCAATGAGATGGCTCTTCTAGCCCACCATGTTGGTTCTTGCCATCACTGAATTTTGGGTCACTGCAACATGAGAGACTGTCGCTGCTCACATCTGAAGGCCAACAGCTAATTTATTCTGCATTATTGAGAAATCTATTTTTATCTTCTGCCCTTTGTTAATTCTAAGCAGCAGTCTGCCTGTTCAAAAACACTATTGATTGACACTTAATGATACCATCAATGAAAGCTGAATGTGAATTTTAAAAGGCATTAAAAAAAAAAATATTTTCTCAGAGTCTGATGAAAATGAGCAATAATTCATTCTCAGGAGTATCTTGTAGTAGACTTTCTGGGTAACAGATTCTCTGTATGTCTATGTCTTGGGGGTAAGCACAAACTCAGCAAACTGAAAAAAAAACATTGTCTAAGATATTCCACTTTTTTACAATTGACTGATAATTTCTTTAGACCACTAATGTACAAACCACTCCTGAATTTTAAGGCATCCTGTGTGTTTAATTTGAAAGCTAGGAGGACATTTCTAGATGGAATGAAGCTGTTTCTGAGTAAACTTCAAGTTTTATTGGTGAGACAACTTCAGAATTCCCTGTTACTGTGATAGAAGTAGTATTCTGATTTCTCACACAACATTTTACTTTTGCTGTAAAAACTATATCTTAAAGAAGCTATAAGTTCAAAATCTTCAAAAAGTATGAGTTATTTATAATTTTTTGAGGAGCATTAGTACACTTGGTTGGTTCCCTGAAATGCAGAAATCATCATACTCTGTTCTGCAAAATTTGCACATGAACACAGAATAAAGTAAGTGGTCCTAAGCAGAACCAGACAGTACCATTCAGAGGCAATGTAGGCAATGCTTTAAGCTGGTGGCCCATGAGAGAAATGAACTGCTCCTGAGTGCCTTAGGAAGATCCATTTTCAGAACTGCCTTGGGCATTTAAGTTTATTGATTTCACTGAGACTTGATCACTGGAGACAAGACTCAGCTCATTCTGGTCAGATCTAAATTAGGTGCCTTTTCCAATAATCTTCAACCTTCACACTGCAACCCCTGACTTTCTTGTGGCAGTCTGAACTACTGTAAGCTTTTCAGCAATAAGTTTTCTCTCCACAACACTTTCTGTGACTCTTGGGAAAGTCTACAGATTTTCTGGTCAAGTCTTGCAGTTGTTAAGGTTCATAGTTCATCACACTGTCCTAGAAAATATGTCTAATACAGACAGGAAGAAGGGCCAACTAGGGGTGCCTATCTCTGTCCAGGAATTAGAGCTGGAACTTAGATCCTATGCTTGAAGTATACTTTCAGCTTTAATTTATTTTAAACCATAGCTAACATGTGAGTGTTTTAGAGTCACAAGGAGTTTCCTGACAATTATCTACCTGAAGGCTTTCATGGGAGTCATCTTTAATGCTAAAGGAATGCAAGAATCTTTCTCATCAATCTCTCAGAAGAATTACATATACATACACTTATAATTAATTAATAGTATTGATATATACACATATTCCTAACCAAAAAAAAAAACAAAAACAAAATCAGTAATGTCAGTAGGACAAACTCTCAGGAACGAACTCAATTTTCTCATGGAAAATGAGCATCAAGTGTACACTGTTTTCTCAAAGGCCACATATACCTGGTGATTGGTCTTAGAGACAGTCTGTGATGCTTCTGCATCTTCTTCCTCCTCACTGTCTTCTGAACAGGATTCAAACTCATCTTTATAATATTCTTCTGCAATTTCTGGGTCTTCAGGGATCTCTAAAGGCAATTATGGTTTTATAGAATATACAGGAAAAAATGTATGATCTTAGAAAGATAAAATGAAATTTATAGCAGAATGTTATGTCAATAGCAATGCATTCTGTAATTGAAATCAAAGGATATTTTCTCAGATTAAAATGCTTGTCTTTGATGTTATGATAAGCAGTGCTAAAGCTGTCTCTGGCAAAAGGTTACGTCCTCATCATATGCAAATTAATGACCTTAAAGGATCTATATTGATATTGCACTGAAATCACTGAACCATAGAATAATTCAGGCTGGAAGAGACCTCATGGGATCATCTAGTCAAAGCAGGGCCAGAACTGAATTGAATCCAGCTTTTGTGAGCTGAAATTATGCCTCACTTTGGTTTTCTCTAACACACATACCCTGTGGTGAATACAACTGCTAAGCTAAAATGCAAAATAATATATACCAGGTACATGTTTAAAAGATATGAGAAATTAAATCTATATATTTTTCCAAACTTTCCCCACTCAAAACAATAATGAAAGGAAAGAAACTTGCGTAAAGTCAAGCTATGCATACTTGGGTGTAATGCTCTCTCAGCTTATTACTATCACAAGTTTTAGTAATAGCAGTGAGTGCAATATTAATATAGTCATTGAGTCCATGAAGTAAAATAATTGGTATTAAAACTCAGCACATTCATCACAGCATGAAAGACACTCCAGTCACTTTTCTCTGGGTGAAATACTTTAGCATCCTAGACTCTGTAAGAAAGGAGTTAGTGAAACAGCTCAAGGTGTGATTGCATCTGCTTCGGGGAGATATTATGACAAGAAATGATAGTTGAAGATAAAAATGTTCACCTATCATAAATCACCATTGTCATAACTCCAGCTAATGCTGACTTCCGCCACTCTCCTCAATTAAATTTGCCCCTTTAAAGAGATATGAACTATCTTAAATTTTACTACATTGAAAGAAATTATATTCAAACAATATGACATAAAATGATTAATAGATTTTTTTTAGTTGTTTCACATGGATAAAAACCCAAGACATTCAAACAGTGGAATACAATTAAAATCCATTAAAAGACATTTGAGTTTGGGCAGGAGGAATAATTCTTATCTTTAAGGCCTAAGAAAGAGAACTCAGGAAAAATGTGAAGCTGTATCTAACTGCAGCATTAGGTGGTTAAGCTCTCCTGTTGAGATAGGAGCTTTACTATCTACTGTCTCCAAAATAATTTAAAAAATACTTCCTTTCTTTATAAACCTGATTTAGCTTCAAAATGCTGACACATTTGCACTCATGTTTCTCTGTTTTAAGATATTTATGGAAGCTGCATAACAGCATCATGTTCCATGTTCACAATTTCTACTCCTAATCCTCCTGTTTCTATTTTTCACCTTTCTCAGTTTGAAAAAAAAACAAAACAACTAATCAATACCTGAGCTTCCGGGAGAAGAAACCCCCCAACCCAAAAACTTTTTCCCACAAAAGAAAGCATTTATTTTTGTGTTTAATTGCTTGAGTTCTACAAAGTGCCATTTGACAGAAAAGCCTAGGACTTAATTAAAAAAGAAATCTTAAATATCATTCCTTTCTACATGGAAAAAACACTACAAAATTAAGATACATCTCTTTTTCCATGTGGGGTGAACATTAATTTTTCTTTCTTGCAGAGTTGCTGTCATTCCTGCAATTAGTATAATTTTATTAGGTTCTTCTGCATTCTATGTGTATATATGCAGTGAAATACATACAAAACAGCCCATTTATCATGTTATAATACAAACATCAGACTACCGCTTAGTGCTTTCTGAGTCATCTTCTCCTCCCACGTTCTGCACTTGTTTACTGCTGTACTAAAAAATGCAATCCTCCCCTTTCCAACCAAACAAATTATCAAACCCAGTCTTTTTACTCATAATTGTAACTTCAAAATGTCTACTCAGGCTATTGTAAACTCTGTACTTCGTGAGCAGCCCATGAGCATACAAAACTGCCGATGCCTTTGAACTATGCAGAGAGGCTGGCACTGGCTGTATCCCACTTCCATGCCAGCTTTTGCATCCTTGTTGGAATTATTCACTTCACTTTTTGGAATTATTCAAGCCGTTCGTTAAATCGGCTCGACAGCTGTACATAAATGGCCAGTTACTCTGAGCTTAATAATACAATTTGAAATGTTAGTTCAGATGATAGAGATGTTCCACGGTACGTATTTTTACTGGCTCCAATTCAGAAACTATTCCAAGTGACATTTCTGAAAGGAGACGGGATGTCCAGTGGATGGGATTTTGGGATTTAGCTAACACAAGTTCTTAAAAATTCTTGGTTTTATGACTAGCATCTCTAAAGAAGGAGTTTTCAAAACTTCTACACATTCATTTAGACTATCTGGTCCCATAAAACAATTCCTAGAGTCCTACTAAGTAGAGTCAACTCACAGACCTCCATGTGTTACAGATGCACGAACACATCTCTGGTTCTCTGCAGAATTAATCTGAGTACAGAACAGCCTATCTAGTTGAGACCCAGGATGGGATGGATTTCAAGAACAGGTAAGATGGCTTTAGCACAGAGGTAACCACAAATCAACATGGCAAGCTGTGTCTGCTGGTCAAGTAAAGTCCAAGTGCAGATGACTTCAGTGAGTTGGTATTTTCAGCTCAGGGCAGGCAATGTCAGGGTAGTTTGGACCCCATACGCTTCCATTTCCATGTCTCCAGTCCATCCTCTAGAACGTTTGCTAGCCGAGTTTTCCCATGATCCTGGATATTTTACACACACCTCCAGTTTATACAAACCAGGTGGCAAAAGGCTGGTTACTGCCCACATTCCTGAACATTAATAGTGAAGTTGCACACTTAGCAACATAGTGCAGCAGAAAACTCTTTGGTTTGTGCTTTCAGAGGAGTAGTTTTAATAAAAGTGTTGATCTTTGACTTTTGTTTGCACACGTCTGCAAAGCCTAGCATGGACTCCAGTGCTAGGACCTTGACCCTGTCCTTTGTTCTGACAGAAAATAGAAAGCTACTTGGGTAAAGAAGTGGTGCTAGTGAGGGGAACATCAAGTCTATTATGCCGAAAGAGGAAACAAAACTGCTGCTGCAGAACCCAGGGTACCCTGCCTCTGTTTTGTGCTCCATATGAAGCTCAAATGAAGGTCTCTACAGCTGCTTCTGCCTCCTCACACCCTGTCAGCTGGTCTCTGAAAGTAGATTGTGCTTTATCCAGCTGTGTGTATTGCACTAAGGCCAGTCACAGTACCTTTTATTTGCTTACAAAACACTTAATTCAGAACAAACTCAGCTGCTGCTTCTGTATTATCAGGTGGCTTAGGTATTGCATTGAGACACTTGGTATTTGCTATTAGATATTCAAAAGAAAACAAGCTCTGAACGATGACATTCCGCTTTAGATTTCTTTCTAAATAGTAACATGACGCTAACAGTGGAATGAAGGGTAAAAACCCATTATCTAAAAAAATCATAAAAGCATGGTTACTTCCCAAGAAGACAAGCTAAACAGAAAATAAAGGAATGTGATACTTGTAATATTTTGCTTAAATCCACCAAGAGCTTGTTTCAGGTAGCATGGTAACTTGGCAACAACAACAATTTTCTCAAAAAATATGAAAATACTTTGATAAATATCTTTAATTTTCTCTTGCCTCAAAGTCATACTTATAATTTGTGCATTGATGCAGCATTCCCACATTCCAGAGCATGCAGAAGACAGTAAGTAAGGCCTCTTCTATTTATAAAAAGGACAAAAAGGAAAAAAAATAAAACAGAATGGTATAACATATGAAATTTTCACCACTTGTATTCACAGGAAGAGAGTCACACTCAGGTCTTAAGGACTATTGTCCTTTTTTGATCCAAAGACTTCACTGCATCTCTGAAAACAGGCAGATTTTCTCAGCTGCCACATCCCCATTTTAAGGAAAAGATTGCTATAGTTCCATGTAGTTACACTCCTCAGTCTGCACAGTACTATATACAGGAAAGCGAGGAGCAAATCATTCAACTGCTCTGACACATACTGTGATGAGATATAACGTACTCTTAACATGCTGACATGAACCAAGACACTACAAAGTGGTGCTACCATATCTCTGCTACCAAAGATTGACACAGAGAACTCAAGAAAAATGAGAGGGCCAGGACAAAGAGACTTGCACTGCCCCCCTTGCAAGGCTTTGTACATGAGCCATGCTGGGGACTGAGGCAGAGAAAATCATTCCACCTTCTGCTTCCATGTTGCACAAGACAGCCCACTGGCAGGACCTCATCAACAACACAAAGGTGCCCCTGATACTTTCCTTTTTGTGGAAAAGCATCAGCAAATACCAGTTTGATGCCATCTGAGCAGGTGTAACCTACTGGAGCAAATGCCACAGTGGCCCCCAGGCTGTGCAGGGGGCTGGAGCACCTGGGTGCAAGGAGGGGCTGGGAGAGTGGGTTCTGTTAAGGCCTAAGAAGGGAAGGTAAAAGGGAAACCTTACTGCTGTCTGTGACTATCTGATCAGAGGATAAAAGTAAGATGGAGCCGTCTCCTCTCAGAGGTGAATGTTGATAGGGCAAGAGACAATAAACATCAGCTGGAACATCATAAATTCAAATATGACATTATGAAAAAAAAAAAGAGTGTAATCAAATACTTGAACAGGGCTTAAAGAAGCTGCAGGAGCTCAGTCTTTGGAGGTGTTCAAAACTTGACCAGACACCCATGGGCAACCAGACCTGCTTTGAGCAGGGAATTGGACTAGACTGCCAGAGGTCCCTACTGATCTAAATTATTTTATGGTTCTGTGGTTACATGATGCTTCACAAACAAACTGTTCAGAATTACCCCAGATGTGGTTTTGTGCGTGTGCATATTTAACGTACACACTCACAAGCTAAGCAGGAGCTTTCCTGTTTCTGTATGCCCCTGCAATGTGTACACGGTCTCACAGATTACTAGCAAAAGGAGCTGGTGAACAGGGCTGGCCAGCACTCATCAGAGCAGTGCAGCAGTTATCACAGAGGGAGGAAACAGAAAGGGATTTCTGCCTTCAAGGAAGAAAACAAACAACTGGAGCACTATCACTGGGAGAGAGGTCTGAAACATAGAGGTATGTTTCCCTGAGCTACATAATCCTGAATGACAAATTCAGAGCAAGGGCTCTGCGCCCCTCTGCAGTTCAGGTCAATACTCATACAACTAGCAAAAATAAAATAACTTCATTATTATAATTGAAGCCCACTCAGACTCATTTGGGTTTTGTGTTGGGTTCCCCCCCCCCCCCCAGTACAAGACAAACCCCTTCAACTTTAAAAGTTTCAAAGAGAATCACCATCCTTTGGTCAGCTATAGACTGTATATGTGCTATCAAGCTCTGAAGCTTAATTGTTCAGAAAGTCAGTGGAATCTTTTGTCCATCTCTTCTAAACTAGGCTGAAAAAGACTCTCAGAATATGTGTTTAAGAAATGAACTAGTGTACATACAGGACTTTTGTGCCCATGAAAGTCCTGTATGATCCTTTTCAATTAGCACAAAAGGGCTATGAATTCATTAAAAGAATTACCTTCTGATGTGGCTGTGTATGGCTTAGACATAAAGTAAAATGGGTTTTTCTAAATGAGAACCAGAAATATAACCAAATTTAAACATTAATGCTTTATAATTCTCCTCTTAGCATTTTAAAGAAGGAAAAAAGCTTCAATTCACTTGTGGGCTTCACTGAGTGATGAATTACCTATTGTGAAGATAAAGTAGATGTAAATCAGACTGGCCTTATGGGGATCATCTACTACTTGATGTTAGAAAAGAAGGAGCAAGTATCAAAATGTTTTTCCAAGAAAAAATTATTTTTTGAACCAAAATGAAATTTCCAAGAAAAATGTTTTATTTGAAGGACACAGTTCTTTTCCTTAAACCTTCCACCACTTGGTATTTTATCAGTAAGTGCAGAGACAAAGCATGAGAGGAAAAAAGGAGCTGCTAAAAGTTGTTAACAAAAATGAAGAGCAAGAGGAAACACTTTTGTCACATTTTTTCCCCTAATTTTCTGAGTTGTTGTTTGTTTTTTCTTCTGATTTTCTAGTTGTCATGTAAAGAGAAATGGGAGCTCTGGTAGAAAGTGACAATGAAGATGAAGCCATGCTGCCTTTCAAACACTGTTGGAAGTTCAGCAAATCTAAAAATGTTCCAAATGTTCAGAAATCCTTTTAGTACTGCTGGGTGAATGAGGAGAAAGAACAATATAGTGATGTAGTCAATAACAGGGAGCACTTAGTGAGTCTTGGAAGCCATTTCCCTTAGGAAAAAGAGTCCTTATTATTGTAAAGGTTGCCCTATTATTTGAACTGCTTCTAGCAGGAACAGAGCAAGAGATGTAAATTAAAGGAAAACTGACCACAAAGATACCTTATGACATCAACTTAAAAATACCTTAGCCCTTGAGTTATTTTAAACTTTTTTGATCAGTCAAAGCATACTTTCCAATAAAAACTCAGTTTTCCTGCTGAATCTGACAGAGACTTTTCCTTTCAGTTTGACATCAGTGTTGGGAGCGAAAGAGTCCACATGTTAACAAGAAAACCCTGCCCCTTAAGACAGTCACTTCCTTCTCCCTGAGATTTGGTTCAAGAATACTGTTTTTAAGACTTAAATTTGGGATATTCTCACAACTAGAAGTTACTGAAAGACTAGAAAACAAATGGGAATGGTTCATATCCAAAGCTGGTGTAAGCAGTTGTGCATATAAGAGTTTGGATGTAGCAAAGATGCAAAATACATTTAAATTGGACATAAACAATAAGTTATATGTAGAACAAGTAAAAAAGCAAGTAAATTATTGCAACCAAGCGGAACCAGAAAAAAGGTATTGAGCTCTTAAACACCCAGATGAAATTAACTGGCCAAAGCCAACATATTTACAAGATTGCAGGGACACACTTTGCTCTGTGAAGCAGAAAATGTAGCAGGAGAATTCAACTAAGATCTTCACTGCTGTCACCTTCTCATTCCTTCCACCTCATTGTCTGACAGCCACATGCACTGAAAGCTAAACTGGTAGAAAGTGCAAACTAACTCACCATTTACAGCTACTTTCTGAGCAAATTCTCCTTCACTTAGAATTGGCTACAGCTTCTTATGTCACCATACAACTTAGCTCCCCTGAAATGCTCTTCCGATTGATTAGCAATCCATAAAATTGAATTGGGGCTGGAATGGGAGTCCTATAAAATGTTTTTCAACATCATCCTGTTCACAGATGCTTTGTTTGCAAGGAAATGCCTACTGTGTCTTTACATCAGTTTAACCTTGAGTCTAAAGTGCAACGTAAATATATGTTGCTCTGTAGGTTGGACAACTTGGAATAAAAACTAGCTCTTTCTAAGGAAGATTTAAAACACTGAAATTATCTTAAAGTGTCTGCCTTAGAATCTAGTATGCAGTATTTTTTTGACATATACAATCTCAGTGCATCTGCTTCTAATTGTTTCCTAAATTCACACAGTGTTTTGTAAATGTTTTGTAACACAATGCTTTGGAAGGAGTGAAGGGAGTTCCTGTGTAGGTTTTAAAAAGACTTGGCCAGCATAATTTTAACTGTAATAATTGACCAAGGTGAACTTTGAGGTAGGCTCTATTTATCAAGGCCAAACTAAATCAGTATGAAAAATAGATTAGAAAAATGCAGGAACTATACAGTAACATAATTTGCTCTTCCCACACTTCGAAAGCATTTGGGTTTTTTTACATAACTGCTGTGTCAAGACTTCATTCCACAAGCTTCCCCCTGTGAAGCTGTATGAGCAAGACTTCTTGCAAGAAGTAAGCTACGAATATTTGTGAAGCTATGAAAAGATTTAAGTAGCTAGGGCATATTGAACAGTACATACACTTGGAAAAGGTTTCCTGAGGAGGTTATGAGTAGAGTTCAACTCTGCATGCCCTCAATAAGCTAAAGCTTTCAGCAAAAACTTGAAAATAATGGACAACGCATAGAAACCTCTACATGTAGCTTTCTAAATTACTATAACCATTGGACTCTGAATGCCATAACATTCCAAAGAATATGTCTTTAATTCCATGGTTGCTCTCATAGAAGATACTAAATGGGAAGCTACAACCAAAGCAAGAAATCAGCTCTTCAAAGGCAGTATTTCTAGTGAAGAACTCCTTAAACAAGAAGAATAATGCTTCAGACAATGTAAAAAACCCCACTGATTAATTTTCCACTTTCTGACTAAAACTTGCAAACTTCATTAAATCGTGCTTTTGCTAGAATAAATCAGATTTACTGTTCCTTTAATTGAATCTGGGACAAGTTGGGCTCAGTGTGAAACCAAGCAATGAAAACAAGAGACAGATGAGGAGGTCAGAGGAGCACACTACGCCCTCAGATCCTGTGAGAGTCTCAGGAGTTTTTTCACCCCATGTTCCAAGGACAAGTGTAGGACTGGTAACTGCAAATGCCAGAACTAATCAAGCAAGTTTCTCTCTGCAAGCATCCCACGCTATCATTTCAGCAAGTAGCGAGTCAGGGAATATGCCTTATGATCCCGGAAGTAGGGTAACCACATGAAAGAGACTAATGGGTAACCCCCAGTAGAAGTCACTGCAACGTTATCTTCTTAATCGAGACAAGACTGTCTGGTTACAAAGGATACTATAACAAGAATAATGCAGAAAGGTGCTTAATGCCACTTATTATCAGTACTATTCTGGTTTATTTTAACTTGCCAGACTGAATAACAAAACAAGACTTGATTCTCCTAAAAGCCTTTGAGTGGCGTGATCACTTGTATGATCATATTTTGGAGTGTTAGTTACCCAATCAATATGCATAAGCACTGGTTTACAGGCACTAAACTAAATGTGTATATGCATAGATGCTTAAAGATGTGCTCAGAAACATTACAGGCTTTTAACCTTCTGAGACTTACAAAACTACCTTGAAAATCCTTCAACAAAACTTGTAAAAATAACAGAGTAGAAAAAACCCACAGTATTTTATAATGAGTGAACATTTCCTATTTGAGAGCCAACTGAACTTTGCCCACTTGAAATTCAAAGCAATATATCCATAACTTACAATTAGCAATGGAAATACAGAAACAATGTATGCAATTACGGTAACATACTTAGCTATTTTGGAACTGTAGTGAAATTAGGTTTGCCAGGTGAAATGTATTGCAACATATTAAGCTAAGAAATTTAACATGTTATAATCCTTGCAGTATACAGACATAAAAAGCAATATAATACAGAAAGATTATAAGATGTGCCTTTTATATGCCTTTCATTTTTAACATTATTTTTCTGTACAAAGAATTTAAATACCACAAATATTTAACTTCAGCTATTTCCATCTTTTAACTTGACTCCTTTCTACACACAAACATGTCTATTAAGAGCAGAGTAGTAGCTTATGCAGAGCTGGGATCTTAGAGAAATGGATACAAACACAGGTAGCTAGCCCCAGCTAGCACTGTACTGACAATCCAAAAATGCAAAATACAGTATTTTATTAGTGGGCCTTATGTCCAGTGTTGTTTTGCTTTGTCTTTTTCATTCCACTCAATGAAGCAGTGCAATGAGGACAAGCTCTCAGAAATATGGATCCATTTGTGTAAATAATTTCTTGAATACTTTTAAAAAAAAATAATCTTCCCCACTCTTGTTTACCATGTCTCATCTGCTGTGAAATTGATATGAATATAAAGTGGCGCTTTTAGCCACGAATGCTAGTGCATGGCTTTAAGTTTTCATGCCTGTTAGACTGGAGCTTGTTGAATTTAACACTCCTTATGGCTCCTGTAAAAAGTCTGGGGTTTTGGTAGTGGAGATAGCTTTGTACTCAGCATCTTTCAACTGTAAAAACTGATCCAAATCAGAAGCATCAACAATGACGGTAAGGAAATGGTAGTTTTTGTTGCATCCGTAATTGTGCTGAACTATCTGGAAGCACTTTTAGATACAGTTTATGATTTTGTAGCCAATTTCAAGGCAAGTTCTACTGTAGAAATTTAATCAGAAACCCTGAACATTTAGCTATTACTGCTGTATAACAGGATTATACCTTGCTCTTCATGCTATTTTCAGCTGCAAAGACTGAGCTTCTCTACCTAGAGGATTTTCTATGTAGTAAACTAAGAAATTTCAGATATTCCACAATAATTTCCCACATTGATAAGTACAATGCATATTCTGATGCAGATTTCTCTGGATCTTTTACAATAAGACCCCATAACTAATGTTTCCCAATTTATTAAATATCTCTGAAAACTTAGAGCCAGTCAAAAGAAATCAAGTTGTACACAGAATTGAGAGAAATTACGCTGTAAAATCTGACTTCATTAGAAGACACTGCAACCAAAGTGAAATGACCTGCACTCAAATAATTAATGTGATGTAGTAACAGATCTGCAATTTTCAACTCTTCCTAGCCCAGTGTATAGTAGCACACACAGAAAAAGCCATGTTTGCCTATCAGCGGAAAATCTAGGGAAAGGATGACCTTTAGCATCCTAAGCTCTCAATATCCAGTTCTCTGGGAAAATGGGTCTCAGCTCTTCCAGTTACTCTTTTATAATCAGAAAAGTAGGCTATAAGCTCAATAAATTAGTAGACAAAGATGAACTATATTGCTATATTAGGAAGTAATACATTCTTTCATGATGGTTCCAGTAGTTTTTTAGGAGGCCACATCATTAAGCATTAAACATCTAATGAACCTGCCTAGCTGGAACTGCTTTATTCTAGCTGGCATAGGAAAACACTGACCATATTCATCCATAACATCAAGGCCGGGTGTAGCTCATTAACACTTTTATTATTTTGTTGATAATTTTTTGCTCATGTTTTAGAAAATAAATTGTTTTGTTCCAGCTGCACTCACTGTCATCCATGGAAATGAGCAGTTAAATAAGCAGGCTTCTTTTTCACAGTTTTTTTTTTCTTTTAGACGAACTGACCTCTGGTTGCCAGCACTACAATATAATTTATCTCACCAGTATTTTCACAAAACCACTCTTGAAAGATAGGTACATGCACTGAAAATGCAGTAATCTTCAGGAAAATGTGCACTGGCATATCTATCATAGTTCAAATGGAGACAGTTTCTATAAAAATGGGTCAAGAGATGGGGGGGTGATCTTAAGCAATTCATTGCAAAGTGGCTTTTCTTTTTGATGATAATAAGGGAGGATGAATTACTTATTTTCTAGGTAAGTATTAGCAAGAACAGGAAATATAGGTACAAGTTTATCCTGACACATTTTGCATTGCCCATTCCTGCATCATTGCCACAACTTGCAAAATATGTCTTTTTAACAATCAGAAATAATTGTTGAATAAAATGAGCTGGAGAAATGAAGCAGAAAACAAAAAATCCAAATTAAAATACAAAGGGAATTGTTAGCTATTCCATTTTATGCTGCTCCTTAAAAACAAATGAAATGTAGAGATACACACCTATATTTTCAACACACAAATATTTGCATTTAACACTGACAGTGGCTCAGTGTTTCTGTGTACAATCTCAACACAAATCTTCATTCAGCTCTTTTGTCTCTTGCTTGTACTTGGTGAAACTGGAGGTGGAAGAGACATGAAGATATCTACAGTAAACTAAAATTATTCCCAGTAGGTCAATATATTC